GTTCTAAGTAACAACTAAAACCTTTACAATATCTATTTAAATATATCTATATCTATATATAAACATATGTCTAAACATAGCTTTAGCTATATAAATCAATTAGAAAACACTACCATCTTTTCAATGCCTTGTCTTCCCACTCAAGAACATGGATTATATCTTTACAAAAGTCTCCTATTCCATTCTTCAGTAAAGTTTCATGGTATTTTTATGTCTGTTACTTAATCTGTTGTGAATGGAATCTTTTATATTTTCTAACTCATGACTTTTGAGATATAGGAAATCCTACTGACTTTACAGAAGTCAATGGCAAACAATTATTATTTTGTCTCTTCTTTTCCAGTCTTTGTTTTCTTTCCTTATTTTACTGTTTCGGGTAGCACTTCCACAATAAGAGTTATCGTGGCTCTCTTCATCTTATTCCTATACTTAATAGGCTTTTATCAGAGAACATGATAAAATGAACAAAAGGAAACAAAATGAACTTCCCAATTCACACCCATCCTCCTCACTCTATTTCTACCATTATACTACTTTGTATATTGGCAGCCCATTGTTTTACCTGACAATTTTCGTCAACAACTTGCTTCGGCATAAGCCTTACATTCCTTTAATATATCAAAGTCTGGGTTGATTCAAAGGCTCACCTTGGACCCAGATGCCAGTCTGCCTCCTAGCTGATCATACTTCAAGGTAGTGATAGCTGCTTTGTGACCATTGAAGGTCACATTTCCTTCCCCACTCAGGAGACTGAAGATTCGGATCGACCCATCCTCATACCCAACAGCTAAGTGTAGCCCATCTGGGGAGGGGCACAAGCAAGTAACTTCTTGTTTAAGCCCCTGAAGGATAAGAATCTGAAATTATAAAAATGAAAAACAATGTAAAAGAGTTAAGCATGAAATCAAGGGAATAGCATAGGAATACTCAGGCACAGTAAAATTAAGAGCACCAATAATTCCAAATTACTCTTATGAATAAAAATGAAACTCTACAATCCATTTCAAGTTTTTTAATATAGAAATTAGTATTTGTACTAGGCAATGAAATATTTAAGAAAAAGCTTAATTATTTTCTCCAAAGCCCTACATTGGTGTAATACATATAAAAACTCCCTAGGCAATAAAATAAATTTAATCCCTTTAATGTAAGTCTTGATCCTAGAACAACACTACGTGATTTTCAATAAAGAGTTGCAAATTCCTTTAACTGAGACCCATTTTATAAGAAAACAATCTGCATGGCAATCGAGTACTACAGTGGTTTTCACCACAAAGGACTCTGGGTGGCAACAAGAATCAAAGTAGTAATCTCTTGGGAATCACAAAATCAGTGGACAATATCAAAATGCCTATATTTGGTTTGGCAAAAGTGGTAGGCTTAGGGAATTCAGTCACACAAAGTATTGAAGTCTAGTTTAACAACACTTGGGCCTTATCCACATTAGAAAAACATTCTGCCAACATAGAGTTACCATCCTTTTACATGCCTAATATTTTATAACCAGCTATAAGCATAAGTCGAACTTGAAAAATAGAATTGGTAGAGAAAAAATACATTAGGAATAAATAATTACTACAAATAATGACCTGTAAATATTCCAACAAATAGACATCTAAGAAATAAGTTCCTATTTCTTTGTGGTTTTCAGAATTTAGTGGAGAAGAACACAAGGGAACTTGATGCTTGGCTAGCTAGACCTAAAGGAAAAAGATTTCTCTTCTCTTCTAAGGGCACACACACGCCAAAAAAACTCATGATAAATAAATCAGAGCTCCCCCACTCCTACTACCTCTCCATCCTCAAGTACCAATAAATCAATATCAAACTGGTCATTTTGGGCTCACCTTCTCTCCTTTCCTTAAGTCCCAGATGAAAACGTGTTCACAAGCTGGTACTGCCACATAGCGTCCTTTCTCACCACGAAGTGTCACAAAGACAATATTACCTTTTTGGCTGCCAATGACGCCAAAGACGGCACTAGCAACATAGCGTAGGTACTGCTTGGTGAGCCCCATGTTATGATGTCTGATACCACAGGTGAGGCAATCTGTGCACAGAAACAAAGAAAACTCAGCTCCTTGGGTGCCTTGGTTCTACTAGGTTAGTAAACACCAACTGTGTTTTGTTTTTTGTTTTTGAGACAGAGTCTCACTCTGTCACCCAGGGTGGAGTGCAGTGGCGGGATCTGGGCTCACAGCAGACTCCGCCTCCTAGGTTCAAGCGATTCCCTTGTCTCAACCTCCCGAGTAGCTGGGACTACAGGCATGTGCCATCACACCTGGCTAATTTTTGTATTTTTTTTTTTTAGTAGAGATGGGGTTTCACCATGTTGACCAGGCTGGTCTCGAACGCCTGACCTCAATTGATCCGCCCGCCTTGAAGTGCTGGGATTACAGGTGTGAGCCACTGCGCCCAAACAACACCAACTGTTTATCATGTCATTAAAAGCATGTAACTTGTGACTTCTTAATCTTTATTTACTCTGAATAATTCACTGACCTAAAATACCTAGACATCTTCATTTTTTATTCCTGTTGACTCAATATACTCCCTCTTCCTCAAGTTCCAGATTAGTCATATTGTCATCCCCAATTCACGCGTATCTGACATTATAGGCTCAATGCAGCTAATTTACTTCTGCCCATTCAACCAGCATCAAAGCTTTTACATAGAGATTGGTAGTCTGAGACTGAACATATTTTTCAGTGACTATTTATTGAAAACCTACCAATTAGGCAGGCACCGTTCTAGACACTGGATATACACTATTAATAAGACAAAATCCCTAACCTCATATTACTTAACCTTCTTGTACAGTGGTTCTCTAACTCTAGTATACATCCAAATTACCTGGAGGGCTTATGAAAACACTGCTAGAAAACACCATCTCATCTCTTCTCCCAGCACCTGTTTCTGATTTCATGAGTCTGGGGTAGGGCCTAGAATTTTTCATTTCTAACAAGTTTCCAAGTGATGCTGCTGTTGCAGTTCTTGGCCCACACTTTGAGAACTATTAGTCCATGAAAGTCTGTCCTTCATTTCAAAATCAGAGCAGTCACTTACCCTTGGCATAGAAAATGGGTGAGCAACTTGGCACACTATTTTTGGAAAGATGCCATAATTTCTGCACTTTTATTAAATTCACTGAAAATCCATAATCCACTGGTTATGTATAAAAGGGACAAGAGGTGAATGAAGGAGATAACAGATCAGTCCCATCTGTTCTTTACATGGAAGAGTAAAAAGTATCCCCAAAAAACACCCATGCAACTTAAAAAAACACACAAAAATAAAGAAGTTACAGTCTTTTATGAGGAGCTGTTTCTTTTTGCTATTGTTTTTTGTTTCTTTGGTTGGTTGATTTAACTCTACAGGGTCTTTCTAATTATCAAATGCTGTTTTAGTCTACTTCAACAAAAAAAATTCAATCTCAACTCTCTGATAATATTTTCTGTTAATAATCACTTACTGGCCTCATTGTTTCTCTCACAGGAACCAACATAAAGCCAATTTAAAATCAAGGAAAGATAATGTTAACAGGATAATAATGCTCTTAGCCTAGGCCATTTGATTAATTCCTTCGCAATTCCTCTTATTCCTCCAGACTCTGTAGTTGTTCCTTATGTTTGCCTGTCTTTGGCCATCTACCACCTCCTTCTATAGTATCTTCCTTGGAGAATTCATATAGCATGCCTAGGTCCACAGACTCCCATATGTCTATTTCCAGTCCTGCCCACCTACATGAATACTAATTATAGAGTTTCCAATATTTACTGAACATCTCCACTTGAATATCTTATAGTTTCACATTTAACATGTCTATAACCAAGCCTGCCTTACTTCTAGTATCCCTCTCTTTTTTTCAGACACTAAGACACAATTTTCCCAGTTACTCAGGCTCAAAACCATTTAATAACCTTTGAATCATTAATAAAAAATATTATTATAGCAGCCAAGATTTAGCGAGTGCTTACGCTATAGTAACTGATAACATTAAATGTATATAACTTAGTAAACATATGCAACTGTTTAATTACATACAGCAATTAAGCAATTAATGAAATGAGTTAACATATGCAAAGCACTTAGAAAACCCTCTAGCACATTGTAAATATAAGTACAAAAAAATTATCCATAAGGACCTGGTGTGGTGGCCCATGTCTGTAATCCCAGCACTTTAGGAGGCCAAAGCCTGGAAGTCAAGAGTTTCAGACCAACATGGGCAACACAGCAAGACCCTATCTCTACAAAACACTTTTTAAAAAATTAACCAGGCATGGTGATGCACTCGGGAGGCTGAGGCAGAAAGATCACTTGAGTCCAGAAGTTCGAGGTTGCAGTGAGCTATGATCACACCACTGCACTCCAGCCTGGGTGACAGTGAGACTCTATCTCTAAAAATAAATAAACAAATTCTCCACAATAACACTACAAGGGAAGTCACTCTTCCTATCTCTATTTTACAGACAAGGAACTCAGACCCAGAGATGGTAAACTGCTAACCCAAAGTCATTTAGCAGCTAAGTGCCAAAGTCAGATCCCAATCCAGCCAGTCTAACTCCAAAATTTCTGCTTTTAACCACTATGCTAAACTGCTTCTCTTTGCCTCTTTCTCTGTAGTCAACTCCACCTGACTGTTACTCTGAAACAGGATGCCTTTCCCTCCAGCACTTTCAGTTCCAGCTCTTTATCACTGGGTTACTGCACTGACTTTCCACCTAGCACCTCCGCCTCCATGTTTTTCACTCTTTTCATTTAAAAGTCATAATACTACCGACTAATCTTTTCAAATGAGCTTTCCCATCCTAAAGCCTTGAAAAGGCTGAATCGTTTGCCAGTTTTCAAAAACTCATCCTGTCTAACCTCCGTATTTCTCGAATAAACGTTCCTGTCGGGCTGGCTAGTTTCCTTCCTCGTCCTGCGACCTTGTATTCTTCATAGTATTCGTTTTACTCAGAATAAATGCATTTTCTCCTCTACTTATTTTAATCAACATTATCCTCTGAGGCCCACTTCTTTTCGAGTAAACCCAATTCTCGCGGCCTTTTTTCATACCCTCGATATTTAAACTCCCTCCCAAACAACTTGCACTGTTCACTTTGTTCCACGTGCACAGCTTTCGCCTCCTTTCGGACAGTTCATGACCAAATCTTCTTCCGAGACCCCATCATCTCCGCTTCCTAACCCACAGCCCCCAAAATGATGTTTCCATGATGCACTGAGGGCCTGGACCGTGGTAACAGACCTGCCACACATTCCTAAACGAGTCTTCCGTCAGGAGAGAGTGACGGAGGGTTCCACACATCGAACACACGGTCAGATCATCCTCAGGCAAGCCCGTGCATACGCACGGTCAGGCAGCTCTGCTCAGCACACGCAACCTCGCCGAGTAGCTGAGGGTCTTCCAAGTACTGCTGTGGGGACGCCCGTAGTTACCTGAGTTCCCCCAGCCCTAGCAACCGGCCCTAAATACGCCCGCCTCGGCTGCTGCTGACATCACGAACGCCTCAGACAGAATCTGCAAAATCGGAGCCGCACAGAAGGCTCTCAGCTCCAAACGTGAACCTCCAGGACTCACCTCAGCCTCCACGAGGCTCCCAGCCGACTGGGCCCGCCCACAAGACCTGCCCCTTCCGGGTACGTTCCGGAAGCCTCTTTCTCCAGAGGTTCCCTTTGCCTTCCAGGAGGAAATGACGGAGAGAGTCGGGCGCTGATTGGCGAGCTCTGGCCGGGAGCGGAAGCCGGTGTTTCGCAGCCGAGAGCATTTGCAGCTGGTCACTCCAGCCTCCTGGGACTTTGACTTGCCCTACTCGGTGCGCTCCTGCTGAGGGTCGTCGGAGATGTCGCTCGGCCGCCTTCTACCAGGAGCCTGATCCGTCCCGCCCGCCGCCCGGATGGGACCGCCGGAGTGCTGTGAGAGGCGGGGCGGAGACCGGGAGGGAAGGCGGGGCGGAGAGGGCCGGGGGCGCGGCCCGAGGCGCACGGGACCCGGCCCTGGTCGGGATTGCAGGCTGAGGTTTTAGTTCTGTCACTTCTCTGGAAGAATGAGGCTGGCACCACTTCCTCGCCTGTTGGTTAGGTTCTCGCCCGAGGCGTTGTCGGGGACGCCGTGTTGACGAGGAGTGAAGGGGTAGGCAGTCGGCGGGCACTAGGGACAGTGGTGCCCTAGCCAAGAAGGCGCGCGCCCTAGGGTGCAAGTGCATAGGGCCGGCGGGAGCCCTTGCTGGTTGTAGCCCCAAAGACAAGTCCATATTGCCGCTCCTGTGGACTGGACATTCCACGAACCGAGAGCACCTCGGGTGAGGGGTAGGTAGACGCTGAGCCCAGGATGGTGCGTTGTCTAGGTCCCCGCAATCCCTGGAGTGACACTGGCCTGGCTTTGTGTTTCCGCTCTCTGGCCGCTTGAGGGGGAAGTGACCAAGGCTGACTCCTCCTTGTTTGCTCACTGAGATTTAAGTGCTCTGTCACCAAGTGGGAATTAGCTGTTCTCTCTTGCATTTCTACTACTTTATTCTTGAGCTGCATAGAAGTGTTTAGAAATGAGTTCTGATGTCTAGAGCTGTGCAAAATTAAAGCTAACATAGCGGTACAAAAGAAGATCCTACCAGCGCTTCTTGAACAAGGTATCTAAAGCCAGCCTAGAAATTAGACCTTTGTCTACATAATCTGATATTGTTCAGAGTTTCTTGAGCTTAAGGCATGTTCAGCTAATCTTTCGTATTCAAGAAAATTGCAATAGCAAAGAATGCGTATGATGAGACTGTGGACAGCTGTAGCAGCATAGGAGTTTTGAAACAAGATTGCCGTGTATTGGATGAATGACAAGGGAAGAAATTGTGGCCACAAACTATTATTTTAATAAGTTGGATGGGAAAGGGAGCATTTGAGTGGGTGTGTATGGTTAATATCCCTGACGGGTGCTGTGCATTATATTAGTATGGGGGAAAGCGTGTGCTTCAATGGAAAACTGCATAGTTTCGAGTCTATCTTACCCCTTGGAGTAGCTAATTCTAAAAAAGCCATTTTTCAGTTATGTAAACTAGGTAACTGACATCAATGCTAGATAATTTTTGTCAAGACATGCGAATTCGCTCTCTGAGAGGTTCAGTGGAAGTTTTGCCTCCTTTTGCATGTTTATTTCAATATTCCTGCTCTAAGGTGTCTAATTCTGGGATCTTCTTTATCTTCTGCCTGGTTCCCTTTTGAGTTAAATAAAATCTTGAACACGGGTTTGGTTTTATATTTGAAGGAGGCATGATTTTACCTTTTCTTTAAAAATTATATTAATATTATTAAATATTATGGGATGGGACAACCACAGATGGAAAAAAAAATGATTTTAATAAGAGTTGGTGTCAGAGCAACTGTGAGCGGTAAGATAATGCATCTTATAAAATTCCCTATACAGTGTTTCAAGGATATAACTCTACCTCCTTATTTAAGTTTCAAAATGCTCAATATATCAATACTTACAATTAAAACATAGTGCAGTTCATTTAATATGAAGGGGTACTACTAATTCACTGTGAGGATATGTTCTTTGGGTGCTTTTGAGTGATGATGTTAAATTTGACCCAAGCCATTGACAAGCTTAGGAATGTTCTTGTTATACTGTGTTTATTGTTGACATACGTGACTACTTCAGTTAGTCTTCCAATCTGAGAATCTTTTTTAAAAACTGTGATTCTCACTGATGGCATAAAATGATTCTTAAGTATGGTGTTGGATGGTGGCATAGAATGATTCTTAAGTATGGTATGCACACAAATCTTAGTGTACTCTGAACTGTTAAATATTGAAATACAAAGTCATAAAGAATGGTAAACCTGGGAATTAATGGCCGTCAAGTGCATGTACCAGCTGTCTTTGTACTGTTGTTGTCCAGGCTGATCTGATCAATGTAAGCATTTTGAAAGACAGGTAAACAGGTTAAAAGTTACCATTTTTCATTCTTAAATGATATCATTTTCTTTTTATCCAGACAAAAAGTTTTTTTTGAGATGGTGATCCAAGGTATTATGCCCAATTTTTCCCAGTTTTGAACAATAAAATCTGATCTCTCTAGCCAGTCCAGTTATTCATATTAAGCAGTATTTAAAGGACTTCTTAAACTAAAGGATGACAGGATTTGAGAAAGAAAAAAAAAAAACAGAAGTTGCAGTGTAATGAGAGCTGTTTACTCTGTACCGTTTGAATTATAAAGGATACATAGTGGCTTATCTTTGTCTTTAGGTCCTCTTCACTAAAGTACTGAAAAGCATATGGCTATGGAAATAGATCTGATTCATTATGGAATCTTCTGTTTGTCCCATGTAGGCTTTTTGATCCTTGGAAATTAATGTCTTGCTTCAAGAACCTTTTTTGTTTTTTTAAACTAGGGCTTAGTGTTTGTTTATGAATTTATTCAAAATACAGAGCTGATCATCAGTGGACAGTCTTGCTCTCCTTTAATGTTATCAAAAATTCTGGCTGTGGCTATAGATTACTGGGTATAGAAAGCTTCTCCTCCCTTCGTCACTTGAGCAATCTGTTTGCATTCTATCACTGAGATTGTAATTCAAATTTATTTACAAATCTGCTTGTATGAGCTCATACACAAACATTTTGGGGAGTGAAAGGATCTGTATCTTTTATGTGATTCTCAAAGGGGCCTGTGACCTTGAGAATGTTAAAAACCACTGTTCTCTCAGGGATCAGGTTTTCCTGCCTAGCTTGGGTTTGTGGCTCCATTTACTGTATGTATTACTAAGGTGTATGTGTGTTTAGGGGAGGGAGAGATTCAAACCTCTTTTTGGTGAGAAACATCAATGTTTGTTTAGAGATGGAGTTGAAAAAGAATTCAACCTTTGCTAAATACTATGACACTTCATAAAATGCCATTAAATTTTGTCCTAAAATAAGAGCTATGAGCATTACTTTTACTTATTTAACATCCAAATCTTGTGAGTCACAATTACTTAAAAGCTGGGAAAAGGATCCAACAAACTCTACTGACCAGGTCTGATCAGGGATATAGGAGAACCACCAGGGTGTACTGTCAAAGACGGTAATAGAGTTTTGAGGAGGAAATGATCAGTAATAAATGTGGATAAAATTGGATTAGTTCTTGGATTTGACATTTGGGAAGTTATTATTGACCTTGATAAAGCAGTTTTAGCATAGCTATAGAGCGGAAGCAAAACTGCAGTAGATTGAACAAATGTATGAAGAGAAAACAGAGCTACAAAACAAATTACTCTTAAAAAGGCAAGTGGAAAAAAAAGAGGAGTTTAATATTCTGAAGAAGAAATGAAGTAGAAGAAATAAAAGAGGAAAACCTTTTTGAGAACAGGAGGATTGAGAGGAAGGAAAAAGCAAGATGTAATTGTAAAAGGAGAATTTGTGTTGTAACACTCACTTAAGAGGAGAAATGGTCAAATGAAGGAAATTGCTTAAATTAAGGTGATTTAGCAGGCTTAAAAGTGTGGAATATACCCTCAAATCATCACTTGGAAGTTGGAAACAGTGAATGATTTTGAATTGGTGGGAAGTTAAGGTAATTGTTCTCCTATGCAGTTTTGACACCAATTATCTCATTTAATGCTCACAATAATCTTAGGAGACTTACTCTTATTTTAGAAATAAAAAATCTGGTTTAGAGTCAAGGATAACACAACTATTGGATGATCCAAACTCAGACCCTGTGATAACAGAGTCCAAACTCTCACATTGAAACATACTGTCTCTGCCTCACTATGTAATTGCACATGGAAATATTTACCTTAAAATACTAAAGAAGCTGGATTCAAAATTGTATCAGTATGATTTTACCTATCACAGAAAAAAAGTAGTAACTACGTCAAAAGTTGAGGAATTTTTTCCTCCCCCTTAATTTTGGTTTCTTTTCTTTTCCTTCTTTTCTTTTCTTTTCTTTTTTGAGATAGGGTTTTGCTCTGTCACCCATGCTGGAGTGTAGTGGCACAATCTTGGCTCACTGCAACCTCCACCTCTTGGGCTCAAGCAATCCTTCTACCTCAGCCACCTGAGTAGCTTGGACTACAGAAGCATGCCACCACACCTGGCTAATTTTTTGTATTCTTGTAGAAATGGGGTCTCACTGTGTTGCCCGAGCTGGTCTTGAACTCCTGGGCTCAAGTGATCTCCCCACCTCAGCCTCCCAAAGTGCTGGGATTACAGGTGTGAGCCACCGCGTTCGACCAATTTGATATTTTTCAAATGTTCTGTAAACATGTATTACTTAGAGTCAGAAAGAAAAGTTATCTTAGAAAAGCAATTTTGTCCTGAAAGTTGGCCTTCAAGTTTACAAACTGAAAACCGTTTGTGTTTAATGGATTTGTTTTTAGATTATAGTTAAGAACTTTCAATATTAGTCATTGTCATAAAAAATCTGCAGATAATTTTTTGAAATTATGAACTTTTGCTAAGTGTCATTCCATTGAGCATGAGGCAATTTAACCGTGATAGATGAGTGTAGTCTTCATTTGTCGTCTGTTCAGCTTGTCTATTACAAGTCTGAATGCTTATGAACAGATAACAAACCTTGTGGAAAGGCCAGTTTGATGGAATAAACACCGACTTTTAGGTAAAATTAATTTCTTTATTTCATAGTAATTTCAAAGATGTATTTAGTATCAATAAGAATAGTCTTCTCATACAAATTTATCATTGTGTAACCTACAAGGCCTTTCTGAAATTATTATATAAATGATCATATTTCCTGTTCCACAGCGTTGATTTAGGCATTAGCATATTCACTGGATCCATGTTTTGTTCCAATTAGCATCCCATGTATCTCAGCAGGAAACATCACGGAATGTATTGTGGAAGGGCATGCTTGTTTTATTTAACAATAAACATGAAAACCATACTGAAAAACTCAAAAAACTTCATGAGATCATGTCCTTTGCAGTAACATAGATGGAGCTGGAGGCCATTATCCTAAGCAAACTAATGCAGGAACAGAAAACCACCTACTGCATGGTCTCACTTATAAGTGGGAGCTAAACAGTGAGAACACATGGACACAAAGAAGGGAACGACAGACACTGGGACCTACCTGAGGGTGAAAGGTGGAAGGAGGGAGAGGATCAAAAAACTACCCATCAGGTACTATGCTTATTACTGGGGAGATGTAATAATCTGTACACCAGACCCCTGTGACGTGCAGTTTACCTACATAACTAACCTGCACATGTACCTCTGAACCTAAAAGTTAAGAAAGAGAAAGAACTAAGAGAAAAGAAGAGAGAATCTGAAATTACGTGCCTCCTGATGAAAGACACACCATCTCATATAATCTTGCCAGAACTGACTACTAACAAGAAGTTTTCAAATAACAGAGAAACCTATTGAACCATACATGAATATGCAAGCAACAAAATCCAGACTGTGGAACACTACAGTTTCAGGATATAAATTTTACAGAAAAGGAAATGTTGGATGGGGGACTTGTAGATTAAAAGAGATTTAAGATATACACTAAAATGTTTTAAATGGCTAATATTAAACTATGGTTTCTAGGGATGCACACTTAGGTGAAAAGGCCATATGAGTATATAAGAAAGTGATTAAAAGTTCTGATAGTAGTTACTTTGGGGGACAGGAAGGGATTGAGATCATGACAGATCACATGGAGGTACTTTTGGGTGCCTGCACAGTTCTGTCTCCTGACTTTGGTGGTGGTTCCAGGGGTGTTTCCTTCATAATAGCTCACTAAACTGCACATTTATTTGGGGAGAAAGAAGTTCACATGCTAACTTTCTTTCCCTGATCATCTATCTGCCCTTATTTATTTCATGTTACCAACAGCCTCCAACTTACCAAACCTGTTAATCAGTTCTTAGTCCTGTTACTCAACCTCTCAGTAGCATTTAACTGATACGTCTCAAGTATTGCTTGAAATGTTTTCTTCACTTGGCTTTTAGGCTACCACGCTTCCCTGGTTTACCTTCCTTTCTTAGCATTCCTTCTCTATCTCACTTTCTAACTTGTCCTCTTTCCCACCTCTAAGTTTTGTTGTAGGACTCAGTCCTTGGATCTGTTTTCTCTATTTGCATTTACTCTCTAGGCTCGTCCAGTTCCCATAGCTTTAAATACCATCCATATGCTGAGAATTCCAAATTTATATTTTTAGCCCCATCTTCTGTGAGCTCTAGCCTCATATAACCAATTTGCATGTTTGACATAAACACTTGGTCATCGAATGAGCGTCTCAAACTTAGCGCACCCAAAAAGACATAAGAAAAAGAAAATCCATTGGTTATCACTCTACCCTACAACCTACTCCAATTTTTCTCTTCTCTGTAAATAGCATAACATTTACTCAATTGTATAAGCAAGTAATCCAGAAGTTATCTTTGGTTCTACTCTTTCTCCCTACTGTCTATATTCTTAAGTGAGTCTTGTTGACACCACTTTCAAAATACATTCCAAGTCTAACATTTCTCATCACTACCATCTCACCTAAATTATTGCAGTCATTTTCTATTGATCTCTGCACCTACTCTTGCCCCTTCTCAGTTTCATTGTAGCTACAGTAGTCTTTTCAAGTATTTATATTTAATCATTACCATGATCAAGATCCTCTAATAGCATCCCCTCATATTTAGAATAAGATCTAAACTTCTTACCATAGTTTACAAACTGTATCCTCTGGCCTTTCCCTCTCTCACCAACCTCATCACCTACCACTCATTACCTAGCTTATTCTGCTTTTCCTAAACTGACCTCCTTGCTCCTCCTGTAGTATACCAAGATCCTTCCTGCCTATTTGTCCTTTGCACTTGCCATTTCCTTTGCCTGAAACATCTCCCAGAGCTTCATGTGGCTTGCTCTTTCATTGTATCTTTCTACTGAGATGTTACCTGTTCTCTTATAGTACTTACTTCCTCTAGTCATTCTGTTAGATCCCTGCTTGTTTCTTTATCATGTATCATCTTCTGTCTTCTCCATGGAAGTATATGCTCCCGAAGGGCAGGGACTTGCTCTTATTCACCAGTGTGTACCCAGTGCCTAGAATAGTATCTAACACATGGTAGATGCTTGCAAATATTTTTTTTTTAGACGGAGTTTTGCTCTCGTTGCCCAGGCTGGAGTGCAATGGCGCAGTACAAAGATTTATTCGATGAATGAATATACCATTTTACTGAAATAGATGTTTGACTCATAGGCAAATTGATTCTCCTTTTCTCTAGCAACAAATAATTTCCCATTACTTCTCTCTAGTACTTGACACTGTGTGTCTTCCAACACCCTCCTCTTCTAATGTTGGTATTTCAGTACAACCAGCCACCTACCATATCAACTGTCTCACACACCATATCCTATAAATTGTCAACTCTTGTTCATCCTTCTTTTGTATTTTGCTTCTTAAATGTGTGCCTCCTTCTGTATCTCCTTTCCTAGTTGAAACCTTTATCATCTCTTACTACTTGATTGCTATAACCTCCCAGCTTCTCATTTTGTCTTAGTACATCCTCCACATTATCATCAGACTTTAAATTATACATATGATTTATCTTTGTATCCCTTGCAGCATCTATCACTTTTTGTTTTTTCAATAGTAGGCACTCAGTGAATGTTGAATGAATAGTCCTGTTTCTGGAAAATAGAATTGATGGGCCATGTGATTACTTTAATGGCTGTAATTCTTTGAAAAGAATTTATGCTTAAATAATCACTCTTTAATCCTGTTTTAGAAATGCTGTAGCAATTCTTTGTTGTCCATTGTTTTTAATGGACTTGTAAAGTGACTATAATCACACAATATATTATTGGGTTGTTTCACAGTGGAGTTTTCTTTACTGGTTTAATAGAATTGAAGTAATATCTGTACTTCTCTATTAAAATGATTCTTTCTTTTCTCTTAAGCTAAAGTCTCCAGTGAATATTGAATTGCTGAGGAATTTGGGAAAAGACAAATCAAAGTTCCCATTCCATGGATCCCTTAGGTGCGCCTTCCCAGTTTGTGGATGTGGATGCACTACCAAGCTGGGGTGACTCATGCCGAGATGAATTAAATTCCTCTGATACTACAGCTGAAATATTTCAGGAAGACACTGTTCGATCACCTTTTCTTTATAATAAGGACATCAATGGAAAAGTAGTTCTTTGGTAATTATTTGATTACATCATATCCTGAGGAGATAACACTTTCTCATAATTTATTCTGACCTCTTTGTAAGCTCTAGCATTGTTGAAATACAGCTTTACATATACATATATGATTTTATTGAGGTATAATTGACATTTAATAAACTACATATGTAAAGTACACAATATAAGTTTTGACTTGTTAACACATCCATGAAGCTATCACCACAATCAAGATAGTAAATATACCTGTCACCTCCAAAAGTTTTTTTTTCTGTTCCTTTGTAATTCCTCCTTCCTGCGCTTCCCTGCCTCCCCATCCCCAAGCAACCACTGATCTTCTTGTCACTATGGGTTAGTTTGCATTTTCTAGGGTTTTATTTAAATTGAACTGTGTGCTTTTTGGTCTGTTTTCAGCAGAATGATTTAAGTTCATCTGTGTTTTGTGTATCAGTAGTAGTTCATTGCTTTAAAAAACTGCTTCACTGAGATACAATTCATATACAATATAATTCATCAGTTCAAATTGCACAGCCCAGTGATTTTTAACATAGAGTTGCATAACCTTCACTACAGTCAATTTTAGAACATGTTCATCAGCCCAAAGCCCCATTAGCAGTCACTCCTCATTTTTCCTTAATCCCCCTAGGCAACCACTAATCTACTTTCTTGTCTCTATAGATTTGCCAATTCTGAACATTTCATATAAATGGAATGAATACAATAAAGTTTGTGGTTTTTTGTGACTTAGCATAATGTTTTCAAGGTTCATCCATATTGTAGTACAAATCAATACTTTATTCTTTTTTTTTTTTTTTTTTTTTTGAGATGGAGTCTTGCTCTGTCACTCAGGCTGGAGTGTAGTGGCGCGATCTCAGCTCACTGCAAGCCCCGCCTCCCAGGTTCATGCCATTCTCCTGCCTCAGCCTCCCAAGTAGCTGGGACTACAGGTGCCCGCCACCACGCCCAGCTAATTTTTTGTATTTTTAATAGAGACAGGGTTTCACCATGTTAGCCAGGATGGTCTCGATCTCCTGACCTCGCAATCCACCTGCCTCGGCCTCCCAAAGTGCTGGGATCACAGGCGTGAGCCACCATGCCCAGCCAGTACTTTATTCTTTATTAGGATTGAATAATATTCCCTTGTATGGATATACCACATTTATTAGTTCATTAGTTGATGGATATTTGGTTTGCTTCTACTCTCTGGCCATTATAAATAATGCTGCTATTTCTAAACATGATGGTTTTGTGAGTTTCAGGGTTATAACAATTGCATTAAAGATCTAAGATGCCAGATTGTTTTTTAAGTCAGAAATTTCTTTTCTATTATTGCTTAGCTTGTGAGCTAGCAAGACCAACATTTTGAAAAAGACAAGGATAAAATGTTTTGAAATAATTAGAAACTAGGTTTCTTTTCTTCTTCTTCCCCACATTTGTTCGTTCTTTACTGTTTCTTCAGGAAAGGAGATGTGGCATTACTGAACTGTACAGCCATTGTGAATACCAGCAATGAAAGTCTCACAGATAAGAATCCCGTGTCAGAAAGTATCTTCATGCTTGCAGGGCCTGATTTGAAGGAAGATCTCCAGAAACTTAAAGGTGAGTGAATTTTCTTTCGTATGTTATCGTTTAGGAAACATTCATTTTGATGTCCTCTACCTTGAAGAGGCATGTTTTGTGGGAAAATTATATAGATATAGCTGTTTTTCTTTTGTTGAAACTAAATAAAAACTGCTTTTGAAAGCTCCATTTTAACAAAATTTATTACATTTTGAAATATGTTAAAAACTGAGTCCTGAGAATTTACTAGCAGTAAAACTTCTTTGTCCTGTCCTGGATTTTAAATGACAATCACTGTAGCTGATTAGATCTTTGGTAGCATTTTCTTGGCTGCATATTTTCTTGCACAAAACATGCAAGAAAAGCCTTATGAGATGACTATCCTCCTGAACTGAAAAGCTGTTAAATTACCAACTTTGCAGCCCTTTGTTATTTGAGCCCAAATGAAATACTGTGAAATTCAGTCTTCCCATTGTATAAAAACTATTTATGAAATACAGCAATGTTGCTTAAAATGTAAACAGCAAAGTTAACCTGTATAAAATCTTGCTTCCCTTCCCTTCTATCATTTAACACTGACAACTGGTTTCTAACCTAATAAAAATATTAGAACTTGATCAGGAATACTGATAAGTGCTGACTCTATGAAGGAAGGGATAGAATGGGAAGAATTGCATTTTTTGATCCAGAAACTGAATTTTGACTGTAAGGACAGAATGGGGGAAATGATCGTAACTAAACTGCAAAACAAGATACCATGAAGAACATGTAGAAACTAGAAAAGATATTGAAGATAATACTGAGAAGTTCTTTGCTAAAAGAAACAGAGAAGTTGGTCTGAAAAAATTCCTAATGGCATGTGTGTGTATGCTTACATACACCTTAGAGCTAGACTTATGAATAATAAAGAAAATAAGAAAATTTAGCACAAATATACAAGTAAAACCTCCATATTAAACTGCGTGTTTGAGCATCTCCAAGCTGAGATTCATATTATATAACTCTGCCCTTTACTAACTGTGTGACTTAAGACCGGTTACTTCACCTCTGAGTCTGAGTTTCCTTATCTCTAAAATGGGGATAGTAATGGTAGTTCCTAGCTTAGTTCCTGACATATAGCAAGAGCTTAAAATTTAGAGATGGAAAAAACTAATATCTTGAAGACTAAATTAAATAATGGACATTAGGTGCTAAGCACATCCTAAGTGTTCAACAAGTATTATTTCTGGTGTTAGTTATTAGGCCCCAGTTGTATGTTTAAGTTTAATGAATCAGTGCCAACCTTTAGGTTATTACTAAAGGGCTGCATACTTAATCCTATCCCCTTTTTACATTTTTATTAATGACTTAATAAAAACAAGCATGACTTACCAAATTTGTAGATGATAGAAAGCTAAAAGAGTAACAGGACATACTGGATGATAGACTAAAGATTTTCATGTGACTAGAAGTATAAGCCAAAAAATGAAAAAATTAACGGAGATGAATATTAAAGTTTTGCAGTAAGTTTAAAATGATGGGAAACATCATTTGTTTAACACTTTATGTCTCAGTAAAATGGCATTATTTTCCATTCCATTTTTCTTTTTTTTTTTTTTTTTTTTTTTTTTTTTTGGTTTGCTCTGTCTCCCAGGCTAGAGTGCAGAGGTGTGATCTTGGCTCACTGCAACCTCCTCCTCCCAGGTTCAAGTGATTCTCCTGCCTCACCCTCCCGAGTAGCCGGGACTACAGGTGTGTGCCACCATACCTGGCTGATTTTTGTATTTTTATTGGAGATGGGGTTTCACCATGCCGGCCAGGCTGGTCTTGAACTCCTGACCTCAAGTGATCTGCCTGCTTCAGCCTCCCAAAATGCTGGGATTATAGGCGTAAGCCACCATGTCCAGCCTCCCATTCCATTTTTCTTTTCTAGGAACCCTAGTGTTAACACTTCCCTCTTTCTTATCCCTCACATAAAGTCTATCGTCATGCCCTAAATTAATCTTAAATCTATTTCTGTCTGTCACCACTGTCTCCAGCAGCTAGCATATGCAACCATCATTCCCCACCTAGACTACAGCCATATCCTCTGTCCCAACTGGTCTTGCTACATCTATTCTTCGTTTCTTAAATCCATAGTCCACACACAACCAGTAAGTGTAAACCCCTTCTTATTGTTCCTTTACTTCAAACTATTTAGTGACCTCTCATTAAACTTAAATTCTAAACTCCTTAAACTGATCCCCATGTCCTTGCAAGATTTCACTCACTTTTCTCCAGGCTTATCCCATGCCCCCTTTTCCCTTCCTTACCATGCTTAAGCCAAACTGATCTCTTCTCACTACCTTGCCATCCAAGCTCCTTTCCAGTTTTGTACTTGCTGTTGTTCTTTCTCTCAGTTGTCAACCTTTATTCTTAAGTCTTGGCTCATATCTCTTCCTCAAAGCACTATTTCTTTTTACTTCAGAATAGATCAGACCACCCATAGTATATGCTCCCAGCCTGCAGTACTTCTCTCTTGTTTGCTTATCACAGTTGTAATCTTGTAAATTGTCTTGTGATAACTGTATCCCCATTAAACTGTAAACTCCGTATGCACAAGAACTGTATGTCTTTTATTACTTTTTAGGAGTAATAAATTGGAGTACACTTAACAGAAAATTACTAACATTGTGGAAACCACATTATTTAAAGAGCTAGGATTAGCATAGAGAAGAGAATATTTGGGGGAAACAGTACTTATTCTCAAATACTTGAAAAAGGATCATATTGAAGAGGGAGAATGATAATCATAGTAGGTACCTAGAATCCTTGATAAGAAGATACATAAAACTGTATGTCAGTTCAGTTAGTATCTAAGCATCAATACTAAAATTAGAATAGGCAGAGTTGGCTTATTGTGCCCAAATTTCCCCCCTGAAAAAAAATCAGTCTTATATTCACTTTGTGAATTTAGAAATTTTATGAAACTAAACCTATGTGAGGTTTGTTTGTTGTTTGAACCTGTGTGTGGGTGTGGATGTATACATACACTCTTACATCTTTTCATACCAAAATAAAGTAATTATGTGTATGCTATTCTCAAAATAAGGTAATCATGTACGTATTCTGCAATTTGCCTTCTTCAGCAAATGAATTCCACCTTTTAATTTCAGAAATTACATCCACTACCCAAACCATATTTAAAATTTCCAGCTGATCCAAAAATGTCCTTTGTAGCAGCTATTTTATCCAAACCAGCATCCAATCCAGGACCACACATTGCATCTTTTTTGTTATGTTTATTAATTTGTCTCTGTGTGTGTGGTATTTTGTAATCCAGTACGGTCTCCTGTCTATGACACTGACTTGTTGACTGAACAAGGCCAATTATTTTTCACAGTATTCCTCCTTCTAGATTTGTCTGATTTACTTGAAGTGCCATTTAGTTTGTATTTCCTATAAACTTGACATTATGTCTAATGGAGTCAAGTTTTGCCTAAAATATTACATAGGTGATGTTGTGTTGTCTACTTAATGTTGTATCGTGTTAGACCTGTTAGTGGGCCATTACTCATACTAAGATGGCTCTCTTAATTGGAGTGAAGACAACAGTTTGATCCTTCCATTTTTTTCTTGCCAAGGTCCCTGCTGGAACCCTCCATCCTCCGTTTCCTCTCTAGACTGTTCTCTATGCCTGCTGCGCAGTGTCTGTTCTGGAACTTTTTTTTAACATCATCCTGGGAAATCCTTTTTTCTGTTTGATAGATTAGATCTCTTATTTTATTTTATTTTTGATGGAGTCTCACTCTGTTGCCCAGGCTGGAGTGCAGTGGCACGATCTCGGCAAGCTCCGCCTCCTGGGTTCACGCCATTCTCCTGCCTCAGCCTCCAGAGTAGCTGGGACTACAGGCGCCCGCCACCACGCCCAGCTAACTTTTTGTATTTTTAGTAGAAATGGGGTTTCACCGTGTTAGCCAGGATGGTCTCCATCTCCTGACCTTGTGATCCGCCTGCCTCGGCCTCCCAAAGTGCTGGGATTACATGCGTGAGCCACCGCATCTGGCCTGGATCTCTCATTTTTGTGAGTAAATCTACCAGGAGATTTTAAAGAAGGATACAATAGGGCAAAACTACTGAGATTTTACTTCCACCTACGTACTTAGTTGGTAATTTGCTTAGAAATAGAATTCTAGTTTGGAAATCATTTTCTAGAAATTTGAAGGCACTACTCCTTCGTTTTCTACTTTGATTAGTGCTGTTAAGAAGTCTCATGCTGTTCTTATCCCTGATTGTATGCTACTGGTTTCTTTCTGGAAAGCTTATGATCTCATCTGTGTTTCTTAGTGCTCTTAAATTTTACAGGGATGTGCCTTCATATGGTTTGGGTGTTTTATGGGCTCTTTGAATCTAGAAACTCATGTCTTTCCATCCTGGTAAATTTTTTTTGTTTTATTTCATTAATAATTTCCTTCCTTCTTTATTCTCTGTTCTCTCTGAAGAAATCCTGTTAGATGTTGTATTTTCTTATTTAATTTTTCAGTTTTCTCATCTGTTATCTCTTATTTTCAATTTATTTTTGGTTTTTTTTTCTGGATTTCTTCAAGTTTAGTTTGAAACCTTCTATTGAACTTATCATTTCTGCTGTCATATTTTTCACTTGGCTCTAGGTAAGTGCCCTTTCCTGTTCTCTGAATAGTCTGTTTTTATGACATTCTGATTTTGTTTAAAGTTTTTTTTTCCCTGTGTTGTCCATTTCTTGAGCATGTGTTTAGTCTCCCCTTTTAGTTTTTGTTAGAGGCTTTTCTCTCTTTCTGGTGGTCCTTAAGTGTTAGCTGTATTTAAGATGGAAGAACTGAAAAGTTCATGGGAAACTTTGTACACATGGGTGTCTAAGTCAGTTCAGGCTGCTATAACAAAGTGTCGTAGGCTGAGTGGCTTAGGAAGAACAGAAATTTCTGGAGACTAAAATCTAAGATCAGGATGCCAGCATGGACGGTTCTGCTAAGGGCTGTCTTCCTGGCTGCAGACTGCTGAGTTTTCATTGTGTTTTCATGTGTTAGAGAGAGGGAGCAGACTTTCTGGAGACTCTTACAAGGATTCAAATCTCTTTCATGAGGGCTCTGCCCTCATGAGCTTATCTAATTCTAATTTCCTCCCAGAGACCCTACCTCCTAACACCATCACATTAGGGGGTAGGGTTTTAACATACAAATTTTGAGGAAACCCACGCATTCAGTTCACAACAGTGGGCAAAGGTTATTGCCTGGTGGGTCTTGAAGCATATGACAGAATGGGACTCCTGCCTGTTATTTTATTGGGGAACTTTCCCCGTTTATCATAATCTGTAGGTCCTTTAGGTTTGGGCCTCTCAATTTCTTGGAAAGGAATCCTCCATGAGCGTAAGTCTAGATGTCTGTTTTGAAAGCCATTTGGGGGCTGAGGGCTAGACCTTTCACTGTTAAGTATAACACTTTAACTAAATCCCCCCTTTTCAGCTGTGCCTGGGGTTCTGGAATCCAGAAACTCTCTAGTTGAGCATCTCCAGAGAATAAACTTCTTCCCTCCTGCTCTGGTGGTAAAAAAAAAAAAAAACAAAAAAAACCATAGCCTTACTGTGCTGGCTGGGGGAGGAGTTGTTGCAGATTTGACTGTCTTTATACAAACTTTTAACCGGGCCTCCTCTTTTTAGCGCCACATCCCACTTCACTGCATAGCCTTTTCAAGTACTTAGGGCTCCAATTTCTGAGCCTTTTTAGCTTTCTCTAGTAATAATAACAATAATTGCTGATGCATGTACACACTTTGCATATACTCGTTTAATCCTGTGAAGTAAGTACTACTAGATCCCTCTTAAATAGGAAATTGAGTTGTGACGAGGCCAAGCCCCTGCCCAGAGTGTCTTGACAGGAACGTGGTAGACTCAGGATTTGAATCAAAGCTGTCTGTCATGTATCCAACACTGCTCTTTAGTACAGATCAACTTGCTTCGTATTAGTTATCTCATTTCTACAAGCAGTTAGGTTTCTCTGCTCTGTTGAGTCAGTTACTAGTCAGTTGACGTTCTACCTTCCAAAATTTTGATGATGCTTATCTGCTTCATGTTCTTTCTCATTCTTTTTATCTGTCGCTGTGCTTATACCTGTTGTACTGCTTCACTGTCATTATCCAACAGAAGGAACAGAGATAAATGCTTATGTTCAGTCTGTATTTTTAACTGAAATTTCTCAAAGTTCTCAGTACTTTCTCTGTTTCATGCTTTCATTTGTTTTTGTTTTTGTTTTCCTAACACGTCCAAACTTAGGTATGTTTCCATTGTTTCCAGGTTGCCGAACAGGTGAAGCAAAATTGACAAAAGGATTCAATCTAGCTGCCCGGTTCATCATTCACACAGTGGGACCTAAGTATAAGAGCCGCTATCGCACAGCAGCTGAGAGTTCCCTTTATAGCTGCTACAGAAACGTACTTCAACTAGCAAAGTATGATCTACTCATTTTCTGGACATAGCATATCAGACATTGTTAAAGGCCCCAGCTTTTTAAAGACAAAGGCCCCAGTTTTTAAAGATTAAAAACCTAGCAGTGGATGTCAAATTTTAGGTGATTTAGGAGGACCCTGACAATAGAATTATCTTTTCAAACTTAGCAGGATAAATGGGATAGATTTGAGTGACTTGAGAATTTAACCTTTTCCCATTTTTTATTCAGTTTTTATGTGAAATATGTGTCCTCCAAAGAGTGCAATTAAATTGTATATTAATATAATTTTTGAGTAGTACAGTTGGGTTAGCTTTTATAGTAGATTTGTTGAAGAGAGAGGAAAGGAGAAGTTGAGCTAGATTTTGAAATTAGTTATGTATTGTATATGTATTACAGATGTTTGTAGTGCAATTTTTGTGTTTTCCCTTTGGTTGCAGAGAGCAGTCAATGTCTTCTGTTGGCTTCTGTGTCATCAATTCTGCAAAACGTGGTTATCCTTTAGAGGATGCAACACACATAGCACTTCGTAAGTAATGTTGGAGAAGCTGTACATGAATTGAATCTTTAAAATTTTTAAAATTCTGGGCATGGTGGCTCACACCTGTAATTCCAGCAACTTGGGAGGCTGAGGCAGGGGGATCACTTGAGGCCAGAAGTTTAAGGCTGCAGCGAGCTGTGATTGCATCTATGAATAGCCACTGCACTCCAGTCCAAGCAACATGTAGTGAGACCTCATCTCAAAAAAAAAAAAGAAAAGTGTTTTTTTTTTTAAATCATTAAATAGTTATAGCCAAAGAATATTCATTGATTAAGTGATTGTAGCACCCTGGAGGGAAGTTTTTATTGGCAAGCTGCAGAGCTCTCAATTTACTTTTTCAGGTTGACATTTTTATCCATTTGAATAAAGGGTTAGAAGACTTGCCTATTAGTTTTTTTAATTTAACAGAATTTGATTGAGCAAAGAACGAGTCTGGAGTTGGGCAGCCCCCAGAACCTGTATAGGTTCAGAACAGCTAGCCTCTTGAATTTGAAAGTGATGCTAAGTTAGAAAGTATGGCTAATGCATTGAGTAGTTAAATCACAATTTAGAATAATCTTAGTGCAATAAATGCAGTCTGATTTCATGATATCATATTTGTATAACACTTGGCAGTTTAAATAGCCACATTCACACATGCTGTTTGAATGTAAAACTACATTTAGGTTTTCAAAAGACTGGGCTCAATCAATGTGAGCCAAATGTCTATATGTGACATAAAAATATGGCATTCAGCTAAAGAGAGTCCATGATCTCACTGTATATATGCAGATTTAGACCACATCTCGAGTTTTATATTTATTTCTGTGTGTCATATTTCCATGATCTCACTGTATATATGCAGATTTAGACCACATCTCAAGTTTTATATTTATTTCTGTGTGTCATATTTCATGAGACACTGACAAACAGGAGGGCAAACAGTTTGAAACAGTAGTGGTGTTTCTTCTAAAGAAGAACATGCTTTTAGAAAATATGATGTCCATCTTCAAATATCTGAAGGAGTCTCATTGTGAACTTATTCTGTGCTACATTTTTCAGGCAGCAGTTCTTTCGGGTATTGTCATAAACTACAATGAGCATCTGGTGAAAGAACACTGTGAACCCATTGTCAAGAAAAATGTGCATAAATACAGAATTTGCATGTTATTTCAGGAAGTTTACAGATCCTCATCAGGATTATAGATAAGAACTCCAACTGTACAAGGCAAGGTCTAAGACCAAGTTATAAGGAAGAAAATGTTGGTCCCACTTTAAGTAGTACTAACTGTAACAGAAAAGTATTTTAGCGATCTTCTTGTCACTAGGAACATTCATGCAGAGGTTACATGACCATTTGTTGCAGCTATTATAGAAAACACTTCTCATTTCAAAGACAAATGATACTAAATGATCTTTAAGACCCCCTGTTATCTCTAGAATTTAAAGTTGAAGAGCTGAAAGCCTTATATCCACAAATACCACAAAGATATTTGAATGTATAAATTATTATTATGTAGCCTGGAGTTTAGGGTGAGGCTCTGTTCAGTCTTAGTCTTATTTAATTATAAACTATTTTAAAAACCAATATTCTAATTACTCAAGGATTTTATAGTAAATTTGTATATTTTATAATTAAGCTTATATACATTATACTAGACTGAGCTTGGGGGGCAGGAATCTTACCTTTTTATCTTGAATGCTTGACATATGGTACTTGCTCAAGAAATAAGTATTTTAAAAAAGGACAAGTAAATTCCACTTACTTAACAACCCTGTGTTTTAGGTAGTATGGTGTCCATTGTACAAATAAAGAGGCTCAGAAATTTCTCCTATTGTGAGAGTTATGCAGACTTGGAGCATATATCCAGACCTTCTGACTCCCAAGTCTAGTAACCTGTCTGCTATACTAGATGATTCATTATGCTTGAGTTAGAACTGCTTCAGTGGAAGACTACTCTGTTATTACATGCCTGTCTTCTAAATGGTACCTAACCAAAGCAAAATTCCTGCCTTGATATCATTGCTCCTGACAAGGCTTTTGACTGGTCTCTGCATTCTCTGATTTTACTTAGTCCTTGTCCTGTCATCTCATAGCTTCTTTTATATATCTATTTTTTATGAAGGTGATCGTAAGGATTGTATTTTAAAGAGGCAGCATTATTTTGTATAAAAGGTTCTTAATAGGGAGTTAAGAAGACTGGTTTTTAGTTCTAATTCTACCAGTCCAACTCTAGCTCTGTGGCCCCAGACAAATCACTTGATACAGTACTATAAGAGACGTCAACTTTGAGAGTAGCAGCAGATAAAGATCGATAATGGGTATAAGGGACTTTGATGAAGCAATTTCTAGAAATATGATTAGCAGAAAGGAAATGTACAACTCTTAAAAAGTGGGCACATTTGACTTATTAGGCCTTAAATCTAGTGGCAAAACTGTAGCATCTCATTCAAACACACAGAAGATAATGCCTTTTGCTTGAATATTTT